AAAGAAAACTTTAACTGATGAAGTGAATGCTGTTTTTATTTTATTTAGATTTAACATCAGTTAAAGTTTTGATTTTATTGACCTATTTATGACGGCACACATATTGTATCTGGTCAGCCTGCCATTCAAGCAAAACGCAAACAATTTTAACATATGATGACATCACAAAGTATTTCGCTTGTACAGTATATCTTTGGGATGTCGAAGAAGCCCAGAGTAAAATAAAGATATAAGGAAGCAATGCTACGCCACATAAAACAAATTCACAAAAGGAGGACAAACGAAAGGAAGGTGCATCGGGAAAAGCATGGGGAAGATTTACTTATTACTTTTCTTGTTGTGGTTGCAGTTGAAGTTCACTTTGTTTTTGCTGGTTGTTTGATGCCAGTGTTTCTCCTGATTCCAAACATTTATAAAAGATGCAAAATTTTTACTCAGGATGCTTTTGGCAATATGTTGAAATTTGGCATCTTATGCATGTTTTCTGACTTTGTAAAGGTATGAAAGGTATGAAAGATAGTGATTCATTTCATTAAAACAGTTACCAGTGTAGTGTTTATCTGTGGATATCTACAGTTTGTGAATGATTTATTTATTTATTATTATTATTTTAATTAAACTGTCCTGGCTACTACAGTGACAACATACAATACTCTGTGTTGTTCCTGATGACAAAAGTCTGGTGCATGACAACTACTGAGCCAACTCAGAGGTGGAGTGGGGCCCTACAGTACTAATCCATATCTATGGCCCCAATAAAATTGATAATAGCCATTTCATGGCGTGTTAATATCCAAAGTGTTTGTTTAAAAAAAATACTTCAATGACAATGCACATGCACAACCATAATGACATAATCAAATATTAGAAATAAAAGGGTTTTATGATTTACTGTTGATGCACTATTAAATAAATGTGAAATAAATACTGAAAAACAAATGGAGCTTTATCCTGCACTGCAAACAGCAAGTGTAAGGAGAAAATCAAGCCTAGCAGCTAAGGAGCAGTCAGTTTCCTGCAATGTTGATGACTCTATAAAGCTACTCTTGTAATAAAAATGATGATGATGATGATGAACTGAAAGAGGTATTATTTTCTTTTTTTTGTTGTTGTTCATCATAATGTAAATTTACATAACATGGGGAAATAGTTGCACCACTCCCATATTTTTGCAAGATATCTCTTTACCTGTGTGACTGACAGTGAAATAGATATGTGTTTGTGCTCCCTGACAGGTAACAGACCAGAAGCAAACTCACAACAACAAGTACTGTCACAAATGAGAGACCTCTTCTAGATCCCACTCTTTCTCTTACACATGCAAACATTTGAAACTTCCGACATGAGCCAAACTTCAAAACTGAGAAAATTAAAAATTAAAGCAGCCCACTTTGGAGAATTTACAAAGAGGTAAACATTTGCTGGCTAAGCAACAGCAGAGAATTCACTAATGGAAGCTGTTAAATTTTATTTTGCTCTAAAAAAATAGTGTGCTGTGCATTTTTCCTCTCCTTAAGAGTTTTGCGCAGTGAGTGAACGGTGCAGGTGTTTTCTTGGGACATACAGTATGCAATTGTGACTGTGAAAGCAAATCAAAAATTCACACATTTTCTATTACTAAGCACGGTGTTCTACTGCTGAGTGTGTGTTTACTCAAACAAGTTCATTAAACATTCAGACAATATAAAATGTCTTCTGGGAGTGTTAGGCTATACCACAAATAATTCAATTTGCACTTTGCTTATGTAAGGTTTTGAAACTCTGTAGTGAAGCAATTCCGCACCTTTCCTCCACTAGATATTCAATCACCAGATGTGTTGTTGATAGTGTAAAATATTGTTTCCGGCTCTGGTCCAGAATTGCGCCTCGGTTTTTGATGGGTTGTGTCGTAATGACTGAAACAGCCAATTCATTTCAACAGTTATTACAATTTTTTTGTAATCACTTGTTCCTCATATCTTCAGCATTAAACAAACAGTTTTCGTAAAACGCTTCATCAAAAGAGAATATAAACAGGCATTCATCTGACCAAATGGCTAAGAGACCATGTAGTATAGTATTACTGTGTGTATGTGTTACAAATAACTGATGATCAAAAGGAGCAAATTCTTATTTTTACTAAAGATATAATTATGTTGCCTATTCATCAAGCTTCTTCTGAGACTGTACCGTGACTGTGCATTAAGGATATGTTATGCACCTTATTATAAGTCATTACTGACAGTGGACAAACTCTATCTGTATGCGTTATGCTGGAGGTGATACTTGTCTATGTCCTGTTAGCTGACAAATACGATATACAGTACTGTACATCGCCACAGAAAAGGGGGTGGTATAAAATCTGTGCAGACAGGTTGAAACACAAAAAGCATATTTATAATGATGAAGAGCGGCCAGACACACGATAGAGAAATAATTAGGACAAGGCCAGTGTGCAAGGATCTGTTGCCTCTTCCCACAAGCACTCAACTGTGTCAAACAGCTTGGTCAATAATCTTCAGCAATTCCTGAGGATTAGAGTCTTATTACCGAGGACCGTCTGTCACACAGACCTCAGTGCCCAAACAACTCACTTCCTGACTGTTTACTCCCTCAGGTTTTAGCAAATAAAACATAGATCTCATTAGTAAATAGACAGCACTGTGTTGAATATAAGGCTTATATTTATGTTAAGTTTGGAGGTCTTATTAAGTTTTATTTCGCCAGAGGGGTGTTTCATGTTATATCTGTGGCTAAATGTTTGTATGAGCTAGTGTGTGTCTGTACTCTATGTGTGTACATGAAGATAGAGCAGTCTAAATCTAATTTAATATTTAGGTCGTCCATGTTGTTAAATAAAGGACACTTTAGAACGTGTCCTGATAATTAATGGGGGCATCTGTGTAGTCTGCAACTTTTAAACCAGCCAGCCAATATCGTTGCGTCGCTTTATAGGTTGATTGCGAATATTTTAACCATCAAACTGTAAACTTAACATCAAATAAATCATTTTGTAACCACTAGTGTTGTCGTGCCGCCCTATACACACTTGTAGATCTCGAACCTGGTGTAATTGCCCAGTGCTCTGCTCTACCTTCGCCTTGTATAGTTTGACAGAAGGAAATACACCTAACAATCCCCCCACGAAGTACGTGTAAGACCCAAGTTCTTACCTTGCCCATGCGTTTTGGCCACGGCAGCAGCAAGAACCAAAACCGCAAAGAGGGTCTTAAATTGACAGTCTCGTCTCACACACATGTCTAGTAAAGTCAAGGTCGCTGTTCGCGTAGCTACACAACACGTCCTTGTGTTGAAAAAGAAGACTTCCAGGGCTTAAAAAATAACAAGCAAAGCGGGAATTTTTTAACGCCTGCAAAAATACAAACAACGCCGTACGGGTTGATGTTACTTCCTTTAGAATTCTCCGAGTGAAGGCGGATGAGAATAACCAAGTGAAACGCTGAGGACCCTTTTTAATTCGGACGCTCGGTGAGCCGATTCGTGGCTGTGTGAGCACATTTAAAGAAAAGGCAGCCGAGGCTTCAGCACCACGGACAGCTCCTAGCGTCAGCTGGTGGAACAGCCTCCACAAAGTTGCTGGAGGAGTCCACGTACTGTACTCCACTGTGATACTGTACTCTCTGGAATGAACCAGGTAATCTTATGCCTTCCACATTCATCAACTAATGGATTACAGTGTTAATCAGGTTCATACGTTCAAAGGAGGCATTTAAAACTTTTCCTAATGTTATCATGTCTCACCTGTGATAAAAAAATAAACTGTGCCCTTGTATTTTTTATTTATTTTATCCTTTATTGAAATACATAGTCTGACTAAGATCAACATTTTCTGGAGACCTGTGCATAAGAGATCACATACAGCCGGAGCAATGAACAAATGCACTAAAGTAAGCAACACAAACACCAATATACAGTCACAGAACAGTGGATATACATTAGGGAAAATGAAAATTACACAAATCCTTCAAAGTACCTGAGTGATACTTGAATTTAGTAGTTTTTGCAGTAGAGCTTAACAGATAAATGATGTGCAGTGCAACTCTCTCCTGCCCACTAAAGAGGACCACCCCACTATTTCACACAAGAGGCAATGGTGAGTGAGGAATTAATCACCTGTGACAAAGCTCAGTGCACTGTGATGCACAGAGTCAAGAGGTTTAAGGCGGTGGTAGAGGCATGTCATCATAAAAGACTTGAATGGTAGTTTGAACAATAGTCTTCTGTGCAGAACACTTTATCTTTAATTTGCAAGTCAGGCCATTTGTGTGGATGCTAAAAGTGAGTATTATTAGTGTAATTTGTGTATACCGTTGTCCCTATTGCCATTACACTGCTTTTCTTTATTGACCCCAATTTTAGCATGCACCATTCTGACTAGGCTTTTGCCCACAGGAGTCAGGAATGCAGCTGAGTGTATTTTTTCTTCCCATTCCCAGTAAAGCTCACATAGTGCATGGCAAGCCTTGAGGTGAGCTGTTCCTCGGGTGCTGGAAATAATCATGACATGAGACTCTTAGGTTACTTTTTTCTGTCCTTTTTATGGGTTCAGTTTATGTCTCAGGGCTGAATCTATTTGCCAGCGATTTATGTCTGCCCACTGCTTGAAGGAGAACTTCAGAGAAATGAATAAAGTGGGGCTTCTAAATTGGATACTGATGGCAAAGCATACCCAGTAAAGCACAGTGTTTGAGGTTTGTAACAGTAAGAGTCAAAACTATCAGAGCAATTGCACAAATCCTTCAGGAGACCCTGGCTTTAGTTTCCAGTGTAGGCAGAAATTTAGCAAGCTGAGGGATGATACTAAATTCCTACGAGGTGTAAGGGCTGCTGTTGTATGACCATTGACCTCCCTGTGGAATCTCTCTAAGTGAAAAGATGGTTTCTTCTGAAAGATCAATAAAGCATTGCATCATTGTTCTTTTAACAGAAGTTAATCAGGGTAAGGGCTCTCTTAGCAAGCGAAGCAGGTTCTACAAACTATGGTTTGAATTCAGTAATTCATCCTAAGTATTAAAATGATTCTAAAATTACTAGTAAAATATTCTAAAATAACTAGTCAGTTTGTTGAAAGACGCTCTCCCCTTTGGAAGATATACTAAAAGTATTAGCAGATAGTATCTACCATGTTCATCATCACACTGGCTGTAGTTATCTGGGTCACGTTAGCCTGTTTTATCAGGACAAGCTTAATATATCCAGTAAGATAATTACTATGTGCATGCATTCTTTTCATCCACTGAATACCCTCTATGTAATTGTTCTATGAACAATAAAATTCAGAGAGGGCTCACAGTCTATAGAGAAAAATAAGCAAAAACATATATAATCTTTTAAGATGGTTTTTAAGATGTGCTTTTGTGTTGCATTCTGTCACCTGAAAAGGAGAAGATACAGCAGGCTGATGTGCATTCACAGACAAACAGACAGAAAACAACAGCATCAAAATAAAAGCAATTAGAAGACAAGAATAGAGATAGGGTTTGGAGTGGGAAATAAATGTGTTGGGAGAGAACTAGAGTGAGACTGGAGACGCTAAAATAGCATGTGTCAGCAAATGCAATTTTAAAACAAGTACTTATTCTAAAAATAAAATGTGTACAGTGCAAGCAGTAAAATGTTGCACCTGTTTTTTGAGATCTATATGTGTGCTAGCCAACCATAAGCAAAGTGTGATCATCAGTCTTTCGTTTTTCTGTCACATCTCTGGGTTTTAAGACTCAACTGCCTGCGATTAACAGATATCTTATTTTAAATGTACCATGCGTGTTTGTGCCACTGCGCATAGACTCATTTTGTAATTTTCATTTTTAGTCACAGTTTCTTCTTATGGTGACTTTTATTTCAGGTTCTACTGACTTTGTCTCACTTTGCCTCTCTCTTTCTCCTCTATCACTGCACCAATGTCTCTCTTTTTCTTCTAAATTTATCTCTCAGTTTCCCCCCACATCCCCAAAGCATGGGACATTCTCCTTGCATCACACCCACACTCCCTCTGGCCTGACTCAGAAAAGGCTCTAATAGTGCAACTTTCGCTTTAGTGAAGCTCTGTGGAGCCATAAAGCAGCCTGGAGGTCTAGTTGGCAGCCAGATGGTTGCAGCCGAGCTTTCATTCTGCTAATGGGTAGGGGGGCTGAGTAGTTAATGAAAATCAGACCCTTGAAATGAAATGACCAATGTCCCAAGGTAATGAGGCACACATCGGCCGTAAGCCTTTACAAGCATTAAGGTAATCTTAGATGGCAGGATTATGTAAAAACATCTTATGATGACTGTTCATTAAATAACTAAGGACTGACTGATTATTACACGGTATGTTCGGCTAACAAATGCACTCCTACCGAATCAGAGCACTGTCTGTGGTGTTTAGATTGACTGGCTTGGCTAAGTGCTTCATCCAAGCAAGGCTGTGTGCCAAATGCTATCAATAAGTCTCTGCTCATGCAGCATTACAAGCTACAAATTACAGGCCATATTACAGTCACAAACAGCAACAATATCACAGTCACAGGACTCACAAATGCATGTAGGGCTAATCACTGTGCATTACATTCATAGTGCAGAACTGTGACCCCTTTCAGCCAACAATCACAATTAGAGTACTGCACTGAAACCTGTTCACTATTATTTACTGCTATTTGTCTTACATTAGGTTGTGGCAATCAGACAGTAGCTCAGCTGTTATGGGGGAGGAAATGTGAGAGATGTGGGGTTTGTAATTGACAGATAGTATGACAGTTGGCACAAGAAAATAATATGCCCTGAATCAGGTCCACTAGTAGCAGTATAATACTTTATTTTCTCATGTGTGCAGCCCAAAAGAGCCTTGTCCTAGTCTTTGGTTGACAATTGCAGTTTGACGTCTTCTTTCTTAGAATCTTTAGAAAGCTATGTATCCTCACTACTGAAGTGCTAAAGTACAAACAATATTAATTATTTACCTACAGTAAACATCCAGAGACGTCTGATAGAGAACAGAAAAGCTGGTGTTGTTGTGCATTTTGCCTGTGCGAGATTGTCAGGGACATAAATCTCTAATATTATTGATTTCCTTCAAGAGTTTCTTTTTATGATTGCTGGAACTTGATTGGATTATTTTAAAGCAATTTTCTACAACAAAACCCCATTCAGAGAAACACATTTTTCCCAGTAGTAAAATGATTGTTTTCATATGTTTTCACGTACACATATGAACACTGGATTTTTTTTTCAGTGTTTATATTATTGTATTGCAACAGTGGATACTTTGTTCATGTTGGCAGCGTGACTATACTGGTGTCTTTTCATTCAAGCATAAGTACAAAGCTTCATTTTACAGAATGATGCTTTGTCAAACTTTATTACTTGTGGAATCGATCAAAGAATGATGGAAACTTGTTGATTTCAGTTAGACTGCAGTTACTAACAAATACAGTATATACTGCTCGTTCTGTACACTCAGTATATAATATAGTGACTAAATTGTTATAAAAAGTGAGTTGATTTTAATTTTCTGCTCTTTCAACTGCAACACCTAAAGACAGTGCAGAGAGAGAGTCTGAGGCTGATTAGGAGAGGCAGACTAATACAGACCAAAGCAGGCTTGACTTATTGTGTTCACTCTTACCTCTGCTGCAGTTGACATTTCAAGATTAAAACATAAAGTATCTTCTTTATTTCATAGACTACATTGGCAAATAATGATATTGCCGAATGAGACAAGTAATAAAATTTCTTAAGCTCAGAGTCCTGAGATATTTTTCTTATATATCAGAGTGTTTTGACAATTACTGAATTTAGTGTTTGGAGGTTTGATACACATTCATCAAAACAAAGAAAATGGCTGTGTAACTGCTAAATAAAATCAGTATTGCTAAAGGTTTGGAAATAAATAAATGAAAATTAAATTTAGAGATTAGTTTTATGGCATCATCACATGTGAAAAACACATTATGTGATGGGCAGTAGGTCAAAACAATAATAAGCCAACTGATGAGGTCATAGCTGCTGCGCACAATAAGGCTCCATACAGGCTAGTTAATGTAACCTTGGTGAATCTGCAGCACTGTTAATGCTTCCTTATTGTAAAAAAATCTATAATATTACCAGTAAATAATAAACAATTCTATATTTAAAAAATGTGAACCAATGTGTAGAGCCATTTATAATGCTTTTATAATGTACTGTTTTCCTTGTTATTCACTCTATATCCATGGTTTTTCCTCATTGGCACAGTTTTTCTTCTTAACTTGTCCATGCCTGTGAAGCATATATAGTTCAGTGTAGCACTGTACTGTGTTCCTTCTTCTCCCTCTTTCAGTTTGTTGTGTACTTCCTCCTGGTAGAGCCCAGTTAATTGCGCTCTCCTCATTACCATGTATTGAAAAAGAGCTCCTTCTGAGCAAATCATCTGTACAGTAGACAGGTTTTAGAAGCGTTCTGCACATATCCATTTTCTGCAAGAGAAAAGGGAAGGGGGTGTACACCAAGCTCCACTTGACCTTTGACATCAAATTATGACTTTCACAAACTGCTTCATGGATTTGTAACTGCTGAGTACAAGAGCATTGGGAT